TGGACTGGCGCTCGCCGCCTCCAAGACGGAGGCACTGCTCGTCCACCCGCGAGCGTCGACACGCCGCTCCACGCCTCGGCTCTCACTCCGGGGCCTCCCCATCGAGTGGAGCACGAAGGTGCGCTACTTGGGGGTGACCATAGACCACCGGCTCAGCTGGCGACCGGCCGTCAACGATCTGCGGACGAGCAACCGCAAGGTACTCGGCGCCGCACGCAGTCTCCTCGCGCGAGGGCACGGCTGCACCCCTGCCCTTGCCCTGCGAGTCTACAACGCAGTCGCATCGGCACGCGTGATCTACACTGCAGCAGTGGCTTCGTTGAGTGCTTGCCAGCTAGCTGCCTTGGACGCGGACCATCGCAACGCCGTGCGGGAGTACTACGGACTTCCCCAAACCTCCCAGGTGGGCCCCACGCTCGCCGAAGTGGGGGAAACTCCCATCTCCCTGCGGGTGACCCCGCGGACACTAAATCATGTACTGCGGCTGAAAACCACAAGGCAGGGGCAGCTCCTTGTGAACAGGCTATATGCTCTACCTCACTCATCCATGGGGCAGCGGGCGAGTGAGCTCTTGACGGTTGTGCCAGACATGCAGTACCCCAGCTGGCTGGCTATCCCACCCTACCGCCACACCCCTCTGGTGATCACCAAGACCATTGGCGGCATCAAAGCGAAGGCGCGCACCCCGCTGGCAGCGATGCAGCAGGAGTGCTCCGCCCTCCTTCACGAACAGCTGAACGGCCGGCTGCTTGTTTACGTCGACGGGTCAGTGCTTCGCGACGGCTCCGAGGCCGCCGCCTGCGTTGTGCCATCAGTCGGCGCGGTTATCAAGTGCCGCCTCCCCTCCCTCGCCTCCTCCACTGTGGCGGAACTCGCCGCTATAAATTTGGCAGCCGATTTCCTCAGTGAGCGGGCACCCATGAGCGCTGCAGCCATCATCTGCGACTCCCGGGCGGCCTTGGCCGCGATCTCGCGCGAGGAAGACGGCAGCCTCCTTGCGCAGAGAGTTGCCCGGAAGCTGCACGCCGTGCAGCAAACGGGGTGCGACCTTTCGCTGCACTGGGTGCCTTCGCACATCGGAATACCCGGCAACGAGGCGGCCGACTGTGCCGCGAGGGATGCGCACGACCCCGACACCGGCGTCACCAACTTCGTGTGCTCCGCGGATGCCGGCCGTCTCCTCACCGCCCGCTACGTGCGCGAGCGTCATCCCGACCCTCGCGTAGCAGCTGGAAAGCCGCCGCGGCGGCTCCCTCTCAAGGGACTCCCAAGACGAGACCGCGGTTTCCTTCTCCGTCTCCGCACCGGAGACAACTACACCGCCGAGCGAAAACATCGGCACTCCGGGCGTGGCAGTCCATACTGCATGGACTGCGGCGACCTGGAGACTCTGGACCACCTTTTGCTTCATTGCCCGGCTGGTGACGCGAGCAGACAGGTGATGCTCGCAACGTACGGAGCTCTCGGCCTGCCTCGGACAACAACTGAGCACCTCTTGTTCCCGAACAGTGGCCGCGCGCATATCAAGCGTGCCCTTTCAGCGCTGCTCGACTTTGTAGACGGAAGCGGACTGCGTGAGCGAATTTAGAGAATTCGCGCCCCGTGATTTTGGTAGACGATCTGTGCGTCCCCCCCTTCCTTTGCTCGCTCTCTCCTTTCTCTTTCCTCTCTTCGCTCAAGTCTATTATCCCCCATTCCCCTTCCCATGTGAACCACTGCTGAGGTGTCGCACTTAGCTGCAGACAGTTGCGGGGTTCACTTTTCTTTTCTTTTCCAATTTTAAGAACCACTTCCCCCCCCCCCAATCTGTATTTTCCACGAAGTGGGCGTGAGATTTACAAAGCGACCTACTATAATCGTGAACCTTTTAGAAGAATGAGGCGCAGTTTGTGCTTAGCATTCCAGGCAGGCTTCGTGGCTAAAAATTGAATGAAACATAAGCGTAAATAGGAAACGCGCGTAGCAATGTATTGCCAAAAAATGCCAGGCCAGCCCGGAAAATGTAGCACTGTAGTCACAGCGAAAGCTGAGAAACGGCTTATCTAGAACAAGTTGTATAGCCTCTTGGGGCAACTATACAAGTACACTTGCCAGGTACCGTGCGCTCAGATTTGGGTGCACGTTAAAAAACCTCAGGTGGTCGAAATTTCCGGACCCCTTCAGTACGGCGTCTCTCATATTCATAGGGTGGTTTTGGGACGTTAAACCCCACATATATATCTATCTACACTTGCCAGGTACGCAATGCTCCATAAATCACAACTTCTGGCAAGTGGGGAAGAACCCATCACGCCATTGTGGGTATTTTGAGGACAGGCAAGGTGCCCGCTACACATTTGCAAGCCATTATGTGCACTTTGCTTAAACGGAGACTGATGACAATGAAGAATTATGATTCAGCTCTTTTTATTGGCTTCAAAGCATTAAACGACCTACTAGATATGCGCTTCTCATTCTATGAAGCATGCGCGTTATTTCACTTCCATAATACACTAGATTGCATTCCTTTACGTGAGTAAGAAGAGAGAAAGATTTTTATTCAGGTTTTGAGGAAACGTATCACGTGGGCTTTGTGGATTCCCATGGCAACTAATGCAAGTACACTTACGAGGTACCCAATAGGCTAGAAATAATCGTGATTTTCGTGAATGATAATTTATATGTAGAGTTTAATGTCCCAAAATCACAATATGATTATGACAGACGCCTCAGTGGAGGACTTCTAAAATTTCTACCACCTAGGGTTCTTTAACGTGTACCCAAATCTGAGTACTCGGGCTACAGCATTTTCACCTCCTCAAAAATGCAGCCACCGCAGCCAAGGTTCGGACCCGCGACCTGTGGGTCAGCAGCCGAGTACCTTAGCTACTAGACCACCGCAGTGGGGCGTGATTTTAGTAAAGTAGGGTCGCATATAATATATCATTATCCGTACATCTTCGGAGGTGTGGCCCCTGTGACGCACTTGTACAGCTTATGTGCACTTTGTTGATGATGTTGCCTATGAAGATGAAAAATTGTTGCTGGGCCTTTTGAAATAGGTCGACAGCCTTCAACGACCTATTTGTTTCGCAATTTGCATTGTGTGATGCCTGGTTGTTATTTTACTCTTCGACCACGCCATATGAGAATTGTTAACATCCTTCCCAACATGAACACTGCAAAAGGTCTTTTTGCAAAGGAGTCCAACCCCCTCATGGCTACGACATAAAATACAGGGCTGCCATGGAGAAGACTCCAGCTCCAACCCGTACAACCCCTATTGCTTTTTGGTTTGTTTATTTCACGTGACAAAGGCTACGCACACCAGCTCTGGTCGCGGCACACAACTACAGCCTCAGGAACATCGTTTGTTCGCGTATGATGAAATCCTTCACTGTACAGTTCATGAAACTAAGGAAATTTATTGAATGATGCTCATAAGCAAGTCAATCGTATTAAAACACGGTATATCATTTGATAAAATATTTCAGCGGGATGTAGCATACAGAAAATGGATGTTTTACTAGCGTTAAGACGGTTTAAACAATAGCGGATTCTTTTAGAATAATTTAGTCGCAGTGAGTGCTTTGGCGGGTCTTGCAAGCGATGAGAATGCGATGTTTAAGTGAGCATGACATAAGTAGTGAAAGAATTTCAGGCCTTCAGGTTATTCTTCTTTGAGAGAGGGTTTTAGTTTTACCCTTCCGAGCAAGCTTGTAGTACTGGCCTGCCTCGTGAAATCTGAATATACCGAGCTCACAGCCAACGCTTACGAACGAAGCACCATAAGACCTCACAATGTCCCTCCATCAATAAATCGCCGCCCGGCTTCTACAGCAGATGAAGAGTATATGCATGTGCACAAACCAGAACATATGATAACAACAAAAATATTCATAAAGTGTCTTACCCAGAATTAACCAAATAGAAAGCCACAACAACATAACAACATCACCATTTACCCACTCACCGATCAAAGCATATGACCGTAAAAAAAAAGGCTGACAAGAATAAAACAGAAGGTTGTTAACCACAGCCAAATAGAAGACCAAAGCTCCGTAAGTCGCAAACGAAGTTAAAGGCGCAGCGTGCCACTGCTAAACGCCCGAAACGTTGTCTACCGGAGGGAGAGACTCATTTGCGTGTGCGGCTGCTCCGCCGCGGTGGTGTAGTGGCTAAGGTGCTAGGCTGCTGACCTGAAGGCCGCGGTATTGAATCCCGGCTGCGATGGCTGTATTTTTGATGGAGACGAAAATGCTCTAGGCCTGTGTGATCAGATTTGGGTGCACGTTAAAGAACCCCAGGTGGTTAAAATTTCCTGAGCACTCCACTACGGCGTCTCACACAATCCTATGGTAGTTTAGGGACGTAAACCGTAGGGTGACGTATTGATGAAAAGGATCTACGTATTTTCATCAATACGTCACTGTAGGGTGACGTATTGATGAAAAGGATCTATATATACTAACTAGCTCATGGCAAGATAAAAAAAATTTGTAAAAAACCGAAACCGGGAGGAACTTCCTAAAGGTACTTCCAATTAATATCAAATGCCTGTGATCGGTGACCATCAATTGTCACGCTCTGTTTTCTTTCTGTTAAAAAGAGGTCAACTCAAAAAGCTATTTTATTACCAATGCCAAATTAGTGAGATGACAACTAAGGATTTTACATTGTAGTGCTTACAGACAGCTGAAACTACTGTTTTGGCAAGTGAGCACACATGCATACTAACTCCTAAAATAGGCAAGTATAGGCATCTGACGTCAAGCTAAGAGAACATAAAAACACACAAACAGTACTTACTTTGAGTGACCATGCCTGCACCTTTGCTATTGCGCTTCAATACACGTCTTTCAGGCGTTTACGTTCAACCCACTGTGTTTATACTGTATTGCTTCTATTGGAAACGTGCATAGGCTTCATTATTGCAGACTTTAAAAGAAGATTCTTAATTACTCTCTTTAATTTCGAAACACTTTAAGTCAAGCTATTACCATAAATAGGCAAACTTTTTTTGCTTCTTTATCTTTATTTCCCTTCAAAACAGCCTCTCCAAACAGCAATCGGGAAAAACCATACGATTGCCTGACGTATCACTGGGAAGTCGACTGCGCCATCCTTTCTTGTTCGAAGCGATGCACCTGTGAAAGTGTAAACAGATATTTTTTTCTTTAAATAAGAAAGAAAAGGCAATATTGTCTGGCTACATTTTCCGACAGATGATGCAAAGGTATGTTTACTTGACGGGCCACCAAAGTCAGCGCTGTGTTAGCTAAACGTAATACTCATACACCTGGCCATCTCAGCATCAAAATCGAGACATGAGGTCAAGCTAAAGGTCCACGTCAACAAAAGGTCATAAGGTCAACTCTGCTAAAGACCTCTATTTGTTATTTAACGCGGGAAATATAGCAAAAGATGTTATACATTGTCTCTACACTATTTTGGTAAGCGCACATTGGCAAATCAGGCATTTTAAAATGGGCTACGTGTATCAGTTAGCGAGTGCTGTCCCGGTCCAGGACCAACAGCCGCCGATTCACTGGCCAGTGTCGAGTCACATCGAAAATAGTTTGTAGCTATTGCACCTGTAATAACAGATTGCGATTATAGAAACGACTCGCTTGTCCCGACGTGGTGGTCTAGTGGCTAAAGTACTCGGCTGCTGACCCGCAGGTCGCGGGATCGAATTCCGGCTGCAGCGGCTGCATTTCCGATGGAGGCGAAATGTTGTAGGCAAGTGTGCTCAGATTTGGGTGCGCGTTAACAAACCCCAGGAGGGCAAAATTTCCAGAGTCCTCCACTACGACGTCTCTCATAATCATATGGTGGTTTTGGGACGTGAAACCCCACAAATCAATCAAATCAGAAACGACTCGCTATCAAATGTGGTAGCACACACTATAAGGCGTATCTCTCTTATGGCGTTTACCCTTGATGAAGTTATAAAAAGGGTTGGGGCTTCAATATCAGGAGCATTGGCGCCATCTTTTGTGCCATGGTTACCAACATTGCCAGAACGCCGTAACATTTTTTTCAAAAGCTATGCCAAGTCCCCCATTAGCCGCAATTGCCAAACTGATAATTCATCATTTTTTTCACCAGCGCAACCAAAATTTATTGTAAACTTCGAGAACTTTCTAGGTTGTCTTCTTTTCAAGAAAAATTATTAGTCCAAGTTGCGCTTCTTTCTGTTGCTCATTAATTAAAGGTGGGTCTCGTTCTATATATTCTCAGTCACTCATACAGTGAACAATTCGGTACCTGTCAATGTTGGCACCTCCGAAGTTTTCAACTCTATTGCAAATAGTCTAGATGGTAGAACAAAGGCACCAATCAAGTTTTCGAAGATCAATTTGTCTCTGTAAACTCGAATCAAAAAGCGGACGTTTCAATGCTGTCCACAGGAGAATAGCTCAAGCCAGTTTGGTCTCTCTTCGAAACTCCTACAGTTCCCAAGTCGCAAGGCGGTGTTTTTTTTTTTTTGTCGTGAATACAAAGTGAATTCCAATCTAAAATCCTGTGGTATGTCGACAGCTACGATATACCTTTATCGTTTCATATCTAGCGTGGCAATCGCTTAGATTGTTAAATTACAGTGAAGTAGCCCCATACAAGTAAAAAGGGCTTGACCTTTGGTGTTTTTTAGAGCCAGCATGTTGCTTTGTTGCTTTTCTGAGCGTTGAAAAGCAGTGGCATTCTTTATATAATAAATAAACTAGTAGGAGTGCCCTGTTTAGTTGGCACAAGCATGGCCCAAATGTGCGCCATATATTACCGCGAAGAGACTTTATTGTATAGGCGCGGGTAAATGCTTAAAGAAACACTAAAAAGAAAGAATCACTTGGTTTACACTGACAAACTGCACTCTGAGAACTGTGTTTCATGAGTTTCACTACCACAAGTTATTTATTAGTGGAGCAAATTAAGGCTGTATTGTCACTTTTCGATTCTCCGTGAAATCTGCGCACGCGAACTCAAATATTTCAACATGTATTTTTCGTATTTTCGTGACAGGGACTCGATCACACTTTCAGAAACTTCGTATGTTAGGTTTATGACACCCAAATATGACATTGTATGCTGACCTGCAGGTCGCGGGTTCAAATCCCGGCTGCGGCGGCTGCATTTCCGATGGAGGCGGAAATGTCGGAGGCCCGTGTGCTCAGATTTGGGTGCACGTTAAAGAACCCCAGGTGGTCGAAATTTCCGGAGCCCTCCACTACGGCGTCTCTCATAATCATATGGTGGTTTTGGGACGTTAAACCCCACAAATCAATCAAATCAATAAATATGACATTGTACTACAATTTTATTGATTAAAGACTACCTAGAACCTAGCAGACACCTTCAAAACTTTTGTTTGAAGTTCAAACTTTTTTTTGTTTTGTTTTGTTCAAACTTGTTTGTTGTTTGTCACATTTGTTTGTGCGCAACTACCAAGCTGGCGTCTCCAGCCGCATCGTTTTTTCTCACGTTTTTCGCTATCCAGGTGTCGTTGTGGTAAGAGTCGTATTTTCGAAATTGGGAAATGGTACTTCACTAATACGTGAAAAAATGTTTTGCTTTTTAGTATTCCTTTGAACAAGAGAGTGGGACCAATACATGATAGTTTATGTGCTGAAAGCAATAGCAAAATATAGTGCAGCGCTTGGAATCCTCACGGGCTGTTCTAACGCAATGCTCAACAGCATGTATGTCCTGCAAAAAACGTGACACAACTGCTGGTTCCTAAAATTCCGGGAGGTACTAGTCATGTCACAAGGCAAAACCATGATAAAAACCAGACCGTGGCTTTAGAGGCGTCACACTCGGATGGTTTACGATATGAAAACAATGAAAAGCTCGCCGTCCAGTCAAACGATTACGTATATTTAGCTTATAGTTCACTGCCAGTTTCGAAGAGGCAAACAGTTGCACTTAGCGTGATGTTCATTGCGCGCCGTCACTGAAAAAGAAAGCAGAGTGTTCACCGCCGATTGCAGCAGCCTAAGCTACTACTGTAAGATCCAGCTCCAACTCAACAATGTGCGACGACGCGGCAAGTTCGTGTCATTTTGGGGGCCTGATTCACAGTACATCATTGGAGGCCGTCTAAGTTTTTTTATTTATTATAAAAAAGTTGCTATGAAAGCGCAAGACGTGTTTGTTATGTACATAAGTTGGCGATACGTAAAATGAAGCTTCGTTGCCTCAACAACTGACTTCCAGAAAAGTTTTCACGCTTCATAAGGTATATACGAGCGGAATAAGTGATTATTCGCACGCCTTAAGTGCGTTCTTTCACTTTTGGTACCAGTGACGGCACTCAAGCTTAAACAGAGAGGGCATGAAAAGGGGTCAAAAAGTTGCGGCCATTTGTCAGCACGCGCCATGGCTATAGGCACTTCTTTTTTTTTTTTTTTGATGGGTGGCTTACGACGAGCGCCACCACAAGTGCGCATGCGCTATCAGGTGGTGACTTCCCGCGGCGGCAGTGGTAACTATGCAGCTCACGATGCTCAACTCAGCCAGTGGTTTTGTACTTTTGGTTCATGACATCATTTTTAGGAAGAAGAAAGAGCGATTTCCGGCAGACATTGAAAAAAAATTGGGAATTCTAAGCCGCTTGCTTCGCTATAACGTTCGACTCGCGTGTTCTCAGGAGTCTTGAATACTGATGGGCAGCATTTTGTGGCCACGCAGGGTCCATTTGGAAAAGAAACTGAATAAGTGAATATTAACGTTTCAGTGTTTCTTGTTACAAAAATTACATAGGTTCGGGAGTTGCTCTTTTTTAATCACTGCGCAGTATCATGATTTAGTCGATATTCGTCGAAAATGGATCAGCCAGTGCTCCGTACTCACCGTTCGATGTGCAGCATTTCGTTTTCTGCGTCACAGGTGATCCGCGCGCAATCACCAGGGGGATTGAAGCTCTGGTCCGCTGCAAGCGGCCCGTAGGGAGACAGGCACCGCCCTTTGGCAGAAGAGAAAAGACGTGTCAAAAAGTGCAGTTAAGGTGTATAGACTGTGGGGGTGCTGACACACCAAGTAAAGTTGTTTGCGCCACGCGGCGCACGTGTCTCACCCAAAAGCCGCATTTTGGGTTACAACTACCGGGCGGAAGGTGGCGTTGTGTTCGCGAGCGTTTATCACCACTATCATCATTTCCATGGTATAGCGCCGGTGGCGACAAGCCTTGGTTAGAGTGTACTAAAAGTGTTGAGTGGCGTAACCAAGCATTTATGCCTGATCCCTTCCATGTTACCCGCAGCGGTGGCGCTGCAGTCGAATAGTACTGAAAGAGCCGCGCGCTGCGTGCAGGATTTGCTATGCGCTTCGGCTCCTCTATCGCGCTTTCTTGATGTAGATTTCTTCGTGCCTGCCCATCATTCATGTCAAGCACGTGATGTCATATCCCTCGAAGTATGACCCCCCAATCTACTGAATTGGAGCTCCACAACAGCCCTTGTAAAAGATCAAAACTAATTCAGAAAGGGTGCGTCTTATAATAGTTTCTTCTGTCCTAACTCTTTCTTCGTTGGTTAGGCATCTACAATATTCAGAATGCCTCAGCCTATTTATTGGAAGTTAGCTGTGCTCAGAAAGCTGTGAGATTGAAAAACAAATACCTTGTCAAACGCAAGCAGAACCATGAAGCCATAGATAGAACGGAGAGAGGAAAAGAATCCAAATTCCTTACACCACAAAAATGTTTTCGTAATTTCTTTTGTCAGGGTCTACGGAAAATATTTACACGCATTGACAGCGACCACCAATCGCAAAAGTTGGTCGTTCTTCTGCACCCCCTTCAAAAAAATAGGTCTGGGTAGCCTTGCGCCCAACGTTTACAGTTGGCAAAACTAACACAGCGTGTTGCTGTACAAATGAACACTTTAAATTTCATGTTTTGGACAGTCATCATCATCATCATCAGCCTGACTACGTCCACTGCCGGACAAAGACCTCTCCCATGTTCCGCCAGTTAACCCCGTCCTGTGCTTGCTGCTGCCAAATTTATACCCGCAAACTTCTTAATCTCATCTGCCCACCTAACCTTCTGTCTCCCCCTAACCCGCTTCCCTTTTTTGGGAATCCAGTCAGTTACCCTAATGACCAGCGGTTATCCTGTCTACGCGCTACATGCCCTGCCCATGTCCATTTCTTCTTCTTGATTTCAGCTATGGTATCCTTAACCCCCGTTTGTTCCCTAATCCACTCTGCTCTCTTCTTGTCTCTTAAGGTCACACCTACCATTTTTCTTTCCATTGCTCGCTGCGTCGTCCTCAATTTAAGCTGAACCCTCTTTGTAAGTCTCCCGGTTTCTGCTCCGTAGCTAAGTACCGGCAAGATACAGCCGTTATATACCTTCCTCTTGAGGGATAGTGGCAATCTACCTGTCATAATTTGAGAGTGCTTGCCGAATGTGCTCCACCCCATTCTTATTCTTCTAGTTACTTCAATCTGGTAGTTCGGCTCTACGGTTATTACCTGCCCTAAGTAGACATAGTCTTTTACAACTTCAAGTGCACTATTACCTATCTCGAAGCGCTGCTCCTTGCCGAGGTTGTTGTACATTACTTTCGTTTTCTGTAGATTAATTTTAAGACCCACCTTTCTGCTCTCCTTGTCTAACTCCGTAATCATGAGTTGCAATTCGTCCCCTGAGTTACTCAGCAATGCAATGTCATCGGCGAAGCGCAGGTTACTAAGGTATTCTCCATTGACGGTCGCCAGACACTCCTCGAGACGCATTTCAAGCATACGCGAAGCATTGTATAATGGGGTCGCGGGCTCAGTGATTCGCTGGCGTAATAACACCGCGTTTGGCCAAATATTAGGAATCATTAGCGCTGTAAAACGCTCCCTTAAATTTACCGAAAGAAAGCAGCCACAGTTATTTCGAGTGAGTGTCGTGGCATTCACGTCTGAAGAAGTATACTCGCACATTTCTCTCTTAAACCGACAAATAATGGAAGGAAAAAAAGAGCCGTGTGCTTTTTATTTTGTTTTTGTTTTGCCGATATCACAAGTGTGCGTCGCTGTAGCCATGTGTCATTCGGACAGTATGACATCTTAAAAGTAGTTGAAGTCTAACGTAGTCGGACGAGAAATGCACCACCTAAAAATAGCAGTAGGGCATTGCGTGGATATTGTTATTTGTTAATGGGGCGGTGACGTGTGTACCTGTCGATATATATATATATATATATATATATATATATATATATATATATATATATATATTTATATATATATATATATATATATATTGCCACAGTTCGACCATCGCAGAAGATGCGTGCAACAATTCGCGTTCGTAAAGAAAGCCGCGCATGGAACGCGTCCTGCACGCGCCACGAGGCTACGCAACGGGTCCGGCACGAGGCTCGAGGGGCAGATAAAGAGACCGACGAAGTTGGAGTCAGCGAGCAAGGGACATTTTGGCTTACCATTTTTAGTCTTGAGTTTACGGGCACAGGTTCGCGCTAAATCAATAGCTTATATAATACCAGGTGCTATATTTATTGGTAAAAATCTGGTGGAGGTGCTGGGTATGATTCCAACCCCACCACAGGCAAGGCAGAGAAGTCCAGATCTCAGAAGTTTAGAGCTAGCAGAATTAACGCCTGTGCACTAACGCACGAGTTGCCGAATACGTTTTGAGCAGCCCGAGTTTGGCCCCCCAATTTACCCATCAAGACCTGTCGAGACCTCAAGCACAAGCGTCACTGTGATGGCTACCCAGTCGATGCCATCTCCATCTCACCTCATCGTGGATTCACCACGTACACCAGAGGTCTTCCACGGTGAAACCTTTGAAGACGCCGAGGACTGGCTTGAAGGCTTCGAGCGCGTTTCACGTTTCAATGTTTGGGACGAAGCCCGAAAACTTCGTTACACTTACGTCGCCCTGTAAGACTCGCCGCGTACGTGCTTTGAGAGCCACGAAGCGTCCTTGCTGTCGTGGGACGACTGTCGGCGAGAGCTAATCGCAACCTATCCGAACACGAACCGCAAAAAGAAGGCAGAGGCTGGCTCTCCAGGCGAGGAACCAATGGAATAACGAGAGCGTGGCTATATACAAAGAAGACATGTCGCGGCTCTTCCGCTGAGCCGACCAAATCATGGCCGAGAAGAAGAAGTTGCGGCACCTAGTGCACAGAGTAAAAGAAGTACTTTTTGCAGGCCTGGTGCGTAATCCACCGCGAACTGTGGCGGAGTTCCAGTCTAAGACAGCGACCATGGAAAGGACGCTACAACAACGTGCGCGACTGTACAAAAGAAACTTCAGCGTCTCTTCGGTCAGGGCGGAGTCAGCAACCCTCCCCACCAGCGTTGACGTCCTCCGGGAAATGGTGAGGGCTATTGTTAAGGGGATCTCTAGAAACTGCAACTCACCCAAAGTCCTCCAGCGATGCCCTCAATCGCGGACGTTTACGTGAAGAAGTGCGGCAAGCAATTATTCAATCACAGCATCAGGTGCATCAGTGAATACACCCTGCCCTCGTAACGGTGAGCGCCCTTTTGAAATCAAAGAATTTTTTTTTCGCGCTATGCCTCTCCAAACACTCAGCGACATGAATCGTGGTCGATTGCACCAATGCGCAATAGGTCGCCCAGTCCATACCCATCATCTACTTTCCCGAGGCGTCGTTCACCAAGCCTGTGACGGAAAAACTAGAACCAGTGACCTGTAGAGGCAGGGCCGCTGATTTTCGGAAAACTGAAAATCCTCCATTGTTAACCAAATCAGACGACAACACTGACACAATGTCGGACACACGCAGTAATGGTGACGTGACATCCGAGCTACAAGTCAGAATCGACGATGTCGAAACCATAGCGTTAATAGACACTGGTACAGACTACTCAGTAATAAGTAACATGCTCGCAAAGAAGCTGAAGAAAATGATCACTCATTGGACCGGACCGCAGATACGCACCGCCGGAGGGCACTTAGTCAGCCCCGAAGGATTGTGCACAGCGAGAGTGGGAACAAGAGGACATATGTACCTCTGCAGTTTTATTATTCTCCCCGAATGTTCCCGTGAGGCAATTCTGGGCATGGACTTCCAGCAAGCAAACAGTGCCATCATCGACTTCCAGAAATTGCAGGTATGTTTTTCTACGGAGAACGCTGTAGCCGTGTGTCATTCGGAGCAAACAATTGTTTCGTCTCTTCGTATTGTGGATGAAGGTTTGACAGTGCCGCCACGTAGCAGCGTGAGAGTTTCTGTAAAAATCAACGTTTTTGTTGATTATGCCGGACCAGCTGTTGGAAATATCGAACTGCTACTCACAAAGGGGATACGCGTGGCGAGAGGTCTTGTAAACCTGCGGAACGCATATACTGATGTGCCATTGACTAACTTTACCAACGAGGTACAGCATGTGGCGAAAGGAGCAGCCATAGCATTACTTCATCTTTACGTGCAAGTCTCAGATGTTTGCACCATAGAAAAAGTACCAACAACGCCCTCAACAGTGTACACTGTCCTCGAGAAACTAGATATTGACCGAGAGCTTTCATCTCTGCAGAAAGACCAGATTGTGGAGTTCATTAAAGAATTCGCAGAGTGTTTTTCCTCTTCATCGAAAGCCTGACGTACTCCTGTAGCAAACCACAGCATGATAATCGAAGGGCACGTTAGACCAGTATGTCATCATCCATACCAAGTATCTCCGAAAGAAGGGGAGGTGATAAAGAAGCAAGTACAGGAGATGCTCGACGACGATACCATACAGCCCTCCAAAAGCCCATGGGAATCACCGGTAGTACTTGTGAAGAAGAAGGAAAACACCATGTGGTTCTGTGTTGATTACAGAAAACTCAACCTCGTCACGAAGCGGGACGTGTACCCACTCCCACGAGTCGACGACACGTTAGATAAACTCCGCAATGCTCACCTTTTTCATTGTTGGACCTAAAGAGCGGGTACTGTCAAATAGAAGTCGAAGAACGAGGTCGTGAGA